TCTTTTCTCTGTGTGTCTCATTCTCTCTGTAAATCTGCCTTTCCAATAAAAATAAATAAATATTTTAACAAAGAAAACTTCATGCAATGCAGTCATAAGAATGCACTGTCTGAGGAACCATAATGAGAAGTAAAGTCTATCTACTTCCGGTACAGGTGCAATTACTCAATTTGGAATAGATGCAGTCTATGGCTGCACCCCTGATGCAGAAACACAGTTAAGGAGCCACACATCTAGGACAATGTTGAAATCACACAGCAAGAGGCAGCTTCCTGCCAACAGCTCTCCAAGGCACAGGTGACTGCACTGACTGTTCCTCCTGCCCTGGCTGGGAACGAAGACACTCTGTTGCCTGCAGGGAGCAGCCCTGCAGGTTCTCTGTGCCTGTTTGTCCTGGCTGCACAGTGCCCCAGAGCTGTCCCAGTCAAGGTTCCCTCCTGCAGACAGTGTGGGAGGCAAGGAACTTAGCCCTGGGGCTGCAAAGAGAAAGCCTGGCTGTGCCATAGGAACACAGACCTTGTGCACCCAGACGGGAAAGAATGCAAAGTCTCCAGTGCCAGGAGGAAAACCATGGCTCTCGGGGTTGACTCAGAGCGCAGCAACTGCCAACCCAAGCGGCACGTCCACTGCACTTGGCTTCAGGCCGGAGACGTGCAAGCTCCAAGGCCACCTGGTAGAATAGACCACAGGGGTCAGGGCTGAAGGGGCAGAGCTGACACCTAACAAAGTGAAGAAAGAAGCCTCAGAGAGGTTCCACGACTTGTCTTAGGACACACAGCCAGTTCATAGAGTTCAGATTCCCACAGGATGAGTAGCTAATGAGGAGCACAGCAGTGACTCAAGGTGAAGGACACGGCCAAAATGCACAGGCAGCCACTGGGGTCTAGCTTTGGAGCAGTCATGGAATAGTAACCTCACCAGCCAGCACACCTCAGCAGGTGAAGAAACTGAGGCTTCAGGACATATGTAATTAGTCCAGGAGCACACAGCTCCTGAGTGGGAAGATGCCATGATTATCCACTGGCCTTCTGCACCCAGTGCTGCACCTCAGTCACTAGGACATGGCCTGCATTCAAAGGAGAGAGCGAGCGCTGACTCTCCGTGTTTATGACAGGGTGCCACATAGTCAGACCCTAAACTACAGCCACTGCTAAATGAAGGCTAAGACAAAGAACTTCAAACTTAGTGGGAGAAAGAGGTTCTCAACAGACTGACTGGGGAGAGACAATTGTGGATGGGGCCCGGGAATGCAAGTGTGTGCTGTTGCTATGAGGAAAACATCAAGTCCCTCTGTGTCCTTTCTGCTAACACTGGGCATAGAACCAGAATGGTTGTAGAGCACCAGGCTGACACAAGGAGGCCTGTTCCTTCTGAGTCACCAGGAACCAAAAGGCTGACAACTGACATTGTACAGACACCAACATCGTGCACTTGACAGGGCTAGATTCCAGAAGCTCTGCTGGGCAAGGGGCTGCAGTGGCACACTGAGATCCTTGCCAGTGGAAAACACTACATTGGTGCACCCCTAGGAATTGCTGTCCCCTGCAACACACATACACACACACTCAGAGCTGCCCCTCACCTTGCACACTAACTGGGAGAGATAAGCTGCAGATGTTTCAGTTTAACAAAGAAATCATTTCTCCCTGTGCTGACTCCAAGGACAAGGTTAAGAGCACCAGCTTTGGAGTCACAGGACCTCAGCTCACTTCCAAACCTGAACTTGTCTCTTGTTTTGACACAAAGCACTTGTTTTACTTTTCTCCTAATAATGTTATTGGGTCTGACTAAAATGAAGGACTCCCCAACATACACACACAGCCACACACCCTCACCCAGGGTCGCTTCAGAGCCCTGTTTGCACAGCACACGGGGGGGGAAGTTCATCAGCAAAGCTCCCTCTCTCCCCCCCTACTCACTGCTAAAAGAACTGTGCAACTCATGCCCAACCTGCCAGGCACTGTGCTGAGTGCTGGGTTAGCATGAAGGTGATGTCAAGGCACCTGCTGTCCAGAGAGATGCATGTAAGGAAATGCCATGGCAACCAGGCAGGAGTTGGGGAACATCAGAGGCACACAGAGACATGGAATAGCTCAAAGGTGTGAGAAATGAATCACCTGAGAGGGTCAAGAAGACTTTCAGGGATCTGATAAACAAAGGACTTCAACCAGTTCATGGAAATGAAAATAAAAGATAAGTTTGTGGGGGCCAGCACCACGGCATAATAGGCTAAATATCCACTTGCAGCACTAGCATTCACATATGTTTGGCTGCTCCAGTTCCAGCCAGCTTCCAACTTCCTGATGGCCCAAAGACTTGGGACCCTGCACCCACGTGAGAGACCCAGGAGAAGCTTCAGGCTCCTGGCTTTGAATTGACAGCTCCAGCCATAGTGGCCATTTAAGGAGTGAACCAGAAGATGAACCATCATCAGTGTCTCCTCTAACTCTGCCTTTTAGAGGTGGATGTGGCAGCTCAACAGTCCACTAGCATCTCACATGAGTGCTGATTTGCATCCCGGCTGCTTCCTCCCTGTTTATGGCCTGGAAAAGCAGCAGAAGATGGCTCAAGTTCTTGGGAGACCCTGTATCCACATTAAAGACCCAAAGGAAGCTCCTGGCTCTTGGACTTGGATCAGCTCAGTTCCAACCATAGCAGCCATTGGTGGAGGGAACTAGTGGATGGAAGACATCTCTGCAAATCTTCCTTTCAAATAAAAATAAATCTTTTAAAACAGTTTATGGTGGTGTAAGAGTTTTCAAATCCATGTGGGTTGTGTGTGTGCATGTGTGTGACATAAATGTTCCATGAATTTCATGAACGTCCTTCTTACAAAGTAGCTATTAAAGCATGATAAGGAGCAGAGAAAAGAAAGGAGAGGACAAAGGGAAACTCACACAAAAAATAGGGAGTGTGGCAGGCGCTCCCAGCACCAGTGGCCCTGACACTGGGACCACTGCCACTATCTCCTGCCCCTTGCTGGCACCTCCATGGGTCCCAGGTGCCCTGTTCCTAATTCTAGCCTCCATGACCCCTAGCCCCTAATGACAAACTGTGAATCACAACTCCCCTGACCTTGCCTTTATGAACTCTTTGTGGACATCTTCCACTCGTCGACCTGCAGCTGTGAGAAATAACCTTGCAGGCCAGCCTGAGCTGGCCTCCCAAGCAAGACCCAGAAGCATACAAGGATTTGTTAGTTGTCTGGTGGAGCTGGAATAGAAATAAGCAAGAAGATGACCTGGTCGTGGGGACCTGCAGGCCAGGGTTGTCGGTGAAGGGCACACCATAGAAGACTGGACAAGGCTAAGCTGCCTTCCCATAGGTTTCCGTGCTGGAGGGGCAGTGTATTGGAGACAGAGATTCACAGTACCAGAGCTGCTGTAAGCATCTGACCAGGACTGAGCAAGGAGGGAAGCCAGGCTCTCCTGCCCCTCAGGGCTGGGCAGTCATGGACCACCCTGCAGGCAGGAGCGGGACACACCACAGACCCCTTTCCTCCCAGCCCCCACCCCCACCACGGGGTTCTCAAGCCCTCCTCCATGGCTCTGATTCTTCTAGCTAGAGGCTACCTCCTACCACAATATTGTCATTTTAACCTGCTGCCTCCTCTCCTCCCCTCCTCTGCCTTTCCCTCCTCTCTCCTCCCCTTTCCTCTCCTGCCCTCCCCTCCCCTCTCCTCTCCCTCTATTTAAACACCACATTTGTCATGATTCCATCACCTCAGACTCTGTTCCCAGTTCTACCAGGCAGCTAGTGGCAGAAATCCAACTGAGAGCAGCACCCACGGGTCAGTGATTTGCCTGCCTTTGGGACCACCACCACCTTCCATAGGAACCCAAACCAGAAACAGACTCCGCACAGGCCCCACAGCAATCTGTTGACAAACATCTAGAATTCCCAGGCACTTTCAGGACAAGGGACTTGGTCGGGCCAGTTCCAAGTGGGCAGCTCTCAGAGAGGCTGTGGCTCCCGATCTATTTATGCCGATGTCAACATTCGCCAAGGAGACGAGGGCGTGTGGGCATGCGCCGACCCCTCCAGGCCCTGGTGAGCTACAAAAGGCAACTGGAAAGTCACATGTCATAACAGTGGAAAGTACATATGCAACTATTCTTAGCCCTGGAATGTATACACCGTCTCCCTGCCCAGCGGCCCTTGTGCAAAGCTCTAGAAAACCGTGACAGTGCTTTCAGCATAAACAATCCTCAAGGCTCCTAGGACAAACCAGGTACCCACAGACTGGGAGGGAAGCGCAGGTCTGCGGGTTTATGGTGTCACCCGGACGTCTTAGGGGAGGAAGCAGATCCAGTGACGACGGTGGATGCCACTGCCACAGCACAAGGTAAATGTCCCTGGTGTAGAGCTCCTGGCAGGTGCTCTACCAGAGGACAACCACGAAGCCAGGGATTCATCCTACCTCTGCTTTCCAGTCATCTTGTCTTTGAAAAACAGAACTTACCTTGTAAAGGCCCACTTGCAGCCCTCATTTCTGCTCACCCCCACCGGAGGGCCACACCCCCAGCATGCCATCCTCTGGGAGTGACTAACCTGCAGAAAGGGGCACTCGGACAGGCTTACTAACCAGCTCAGATGCCAAGGGCCTGTGCAGAGGCTTGTGCACTCCTGCTGCTCACAGGCACAGGCTACTACCTTGCCTCTGGCTGCCATCTCGACCCCCAGCAGTCAACTAACATCCAACAACTGGGGAATTCTGTCCCAGCTTTGGATTAGCTGAAAGACACTGTGTTCCTGTTACCTTAAAGAATAATCATAACCGCTCCCCTAGCAAAAAAAAAAATTACAGTGCCTGATCTCTGATGTGGGGTGCATGAGGCTTCCCTCTTTCAACCTTCACAATGTGCTATCCAGGCAGTGCCCATTGGCATGGTGGTAGAAGGATACAGTTGCAGCCCCCAGGCCACACCCTCCAGCAGGTGCCACTGAGAGATGCACTTGACTCCGGCTCCCTCTTAGGATTTTCTCCCCCTCACTGCAGGATGGACAAAGAGACACTGGATGGGCTGTTCTTCCAAGACCCCGATTTCTCTTCTGACTTGCTGAGGCAGCTCAACAGCTTCCGACAAAACAGGATCCTGACAGATGTGAGCATCTGCGCCAGTTCCCAGGAGGTGCCCTGCCACCGAAACGTGCTGGCCTCCAGCAGCCCCTACTTCAGGGCCATGTTCTGCAGCAACTTCCGGGAGAGTAGTGAGGCCAAGGTCCAGCTGAAAGGCATCGACTGGCCGACTCTAGAGCAGATCGTGGCATATGTGTACACTGGGGAGGCGTGCATCACGGCCGAGAATGTCCTGCCCTTGATGGAGGCGGCCTCCATGCTGCAGTACCCCAAACTGTTTGAGGCCTGCTCCTCATACCTGCAGAACCAGCTGGCTCCTGGCAACTGCCTGGGCATGATCAGACTCTCAGAGATCCTGAACTGTGAGACCCTGAAGAGGAAGGCCAGGGAAGTGGCCTTGACATCTTTCCCAGAGGTGGCAGTGTCAGCAGACCTGAAGGAGCTCTGTGCGCTGGAGCTCAGAGATTACCTTGGAGATGACGGGCTCTGCGGGGAGGAAGAGAAGGTGTTTGAGGCCCTCATGGCTTGGATTCGACATGATCCGCAGGCCCGGAAGCCGTATGTGCCAGAGCTGTTCATGCAGGTCCGGCTTCAGTACGTGCACCCGGCCTTCTTCTTCCACTTCATTGCCAATGATGACCTCCTGCAAACCTCACCAGCATGCCAGACCATCCTGGAGACAGCCAAGAGGCACATGTTTTCTCTGCATAGCACCAGTGCTCCTGGCTGCAGACCCCTGGAACATGTGCCCCTTAGAAACTCCTACCAGGACTTCCTCATCCTCTTGGGCGGGAGGAAGGACAGCCAGCAGACCACCAGGGATGTCTTGTTGTATGACAGCCAAAACCGCCAATGGCAGAACCTTGCAAAACTCCCGACACGCCTCTACAAGCCCTCGGCAGTCACCTTACACCGTAGTGTCTACATCCTGGGGGGCATGGCCGTCAGCATGGGGAGGAGCGTGGTCACTCGCAGTGTCTACGTCTTCTCCCTGAAACTCAACCAGTGGTGGCTGGTAGAACCCATGCTCGTAGCCCGCTACTCCCACAGAAGCACGGTGCACAGGAACTTTATCTTCTGCATCGGAGGCCTTGGAGAAGGGCAGGAGCTTCTGGGCTCCATGGAGAGGTACGATAGCCTCTCCAATGTGTGGGAGAGCATGGCCAGCATGCCAGTGGCTGTTCTGCACCCTGCAGTGGCTGCCAAAGACCAGAGGCTCTACCTCTTTGGGGGAGAGGACATCATGCAGAACCCTGTGAGGCTTATCCAGGTAAGTGGCCCTTCCCATGTCCAAGAACATGTTCACATATGCATATGGGCACACACATACACACATACACCACATATATACTGACATAAGTGTGCACACACTTATGCCAGCATGCATACATTGCACACATGTGAATGCATGCAACAAATGTATATGTGCAATACACATGTATGCATACCCATAAACACACCACTTGTCATTGTTGTGTGAAGGCAGGAGGGGCAGAGAGAAGAGGATAATTATCAACGGCACTTTCTCAGTTTATGAATTTATGGACCAGTACTAGCCAAGTTATTGCAAATCCAATCCCTATGTTCATCTGAGGGTGGAAAAAGTTCTACTAATCCAGATTGAAACATATTGAATGTCACAAAGTCAAGTCCGAAAGGAATTTGACAAATGCTCCAACCTAAATTACTGAAGCCTTTAAGAAGACTCCTACGTGCAAGTCTATAGGGTTTGGGGAGCTCTGTGAAGTCGGTTAAGCTGACTTGAGCAGACAGGTGGGGATGGAGAAAGGCACAACGATGGTCAGAGAGCAGATGAGAGCAAAGTCTGACCTGCGCTGTGAGGGGCAGTTTCTTTGTTGCCTAAGGGGGAGCCTGAGCTGCCTGTTAGAGGAGGAGGTAGGGAGAGACGGTGAGGAACAGCTTGTGCAAAGGTCTTGAGCCCAGCAGTGCAGAAGGAGGAAGGTGATGTGTCCAGGGGCAGAACAGGTGTCAGCCCCCACGAAATCTCCATCAGCCCTTTTTCAAGCTCCCTGAGCAACCTCCTCCACCCTGACTGCCACTCCGGAGCCCTTCCTGTGTTACTTTTGGAACATTCTTGGGAGATGAGTATTTGTAGAGAGGTGTCTGGTCTGGTAGGGCTTTCCAGGACTTAAGAATGAGCTGGGCTGGCAGTCTGAGAGGCAGTAGAAGGGCTGTTACCAAGGAACTGCACACAGGTGAGTGGGGTCCTTGGCTCCACACTTCCAGAAGTTGTTTCTGGAACCCTTGCAGAGAAGCACTGACTCGACTACAGGACTTCACGAGGTCCAGGCAAGCCATGCCCAAGCCTCAGACTGTCTTCCTGCCTTCACTTCTCCATGCCATGCCCCCAGCTCCTCCCTGACCATCTGGGCACATTCGTAGCCTTCCCACATCCCTCTTCCAAATCCCACCCACGATCTTGAGCTGGAAAAGACATGTTCTACTCCTACCCCTCCCAGTCCAACCACACAACACAGATGTCACCAAGTGTTCCTGTGGGAAGCTAAAGCCCTTTCCTCCTTCTAACTGCTTCTCAAAGTAGAGTTGACAAATACGCTGATGAGTTCACGGTGCCAGGCTATCATTAACTTCCTAAAAATAAAAGAGCTCACAGCTAGCTTAGGACGAAACACACAGGATAATCACACCAGTGTTGCAAAACCAAAATAAATAAATTAATTAAATTATGAGCAATCCTTTTACACTGCAGCAGTGAAAAGGGGGCGGGGGAATCAAATGGATATGGTTTTTTTATTGACTCAGCACTAGCTTTGAAAGTAAGGTTTTCCTCTGTCCACTAGAGTTAGAAATAAACGCTTGAGTTGCTTAATGAGCAGGCTGGTTGTTCAGGTAGGGGTTGGGATGACTCATCTGCAGGTGACTCATCTGCATACGTGCTTTTTTTTTTTTTTACAAATGACCTTGCCATGTGCTGTGCAAACCATGTGCGTATGTGTCCATCTCAACCTGGCCTCCTTCCTACCCCCAGACACTAGACGGCACTTCACAAAGCCTTCACCACCACAAACTGTCACCTCCTTGACTAGTCAAAGCCATCCTTTTTGTCCTTGCGCCAGTCTTGTTGGTAGAGGACATGGGTGGAGAAGCCCATGTTTAATCTAGCTTTGAAAATATATCCTAGGCTGATAGGTGACAGAGTCAGGAGACAATTACTCGTGGGAAGTGGCAACCTGGCGTTTGCTTCTCTGCCAAGGTCCCACTTTCCAACAAGTTTGTCTCCCACCTATTTTCAGATGTAACTATGAGGCTTTCATGAGCTAGCCACTGTCTCAGGCATCACCAAGCTAAAGGACTGCCAGGAACCTCCACCAGGATAGGCCGTATGCTGCATGCCGTGGATAGAATCACCAGGGAGGGGAGAGGAGTAGGGGCATGGACTCTGGACTCAATCAGACCCACTCGTCCACTCATGGTAGGACCTAAGCGTGTCACCCTGAGCCTCAACAGTATAACCTGGAAAATACGGGGCGGGTAGGAGATAGGTAATAAGAATGTTGATGAAGCTCAAATTTGATATAAAGACCAAAATGAAGTCTGAGAAAACAGAATGTCCAAGAGCACGTCCAGGAGTCAAGATTCGACCCACTATTCCAGGACAGGGAGAGGGATCTGCAGTCCCCTCTTTTGTCTTCTATCCTTCTCTCCTACTTCGGTTTTTCTAGAATCCTAATGCCAATCACACATAAGCCGTTCAAAAGTCATCCCCACTACACCCCAAATTTATTCTTAGTTCTATGAATATAGCAACACAATTAGAAATTTAAATATGGACTGGAAATTAAAATGAGTAGAATAATCACAGGTGTTCTGAAGATCTAAGTTGTTTCATTTCTCATTACAAGAGAAAAACTGTTTCAAGCAAAATAAAAAGAAACCTGCACTTCAGGGCAAAAGGTTGGCCTGCCCTACAATTGCTGAGCTCTTGACTGATTTCTAGTAATCTTGTTTCTCTTATCTAATAATATTTAGTAATTGCAACATAGCTATCGCCTAACTGGGAAAAAACCAAAAAAAGACCTTACTCCTTGTTCACCTTCCTAATTCCACTTTCTGTATTTTTTAAGCCATCGGGTAGAAGTAACGAGTCACATTGTTTCACATCCCAGTGGGGTGATGTGGGTTCACAGGGACATGTCAGACTCGATAGAGAACTGAGAGCAGCAGGCTCCAAACACAAAGACAAGGAAATGAAAAGGCTGAGTGCCTGCTTGGATCAGTTGACACTCCACAGGTGTGTGTTTCAAAATTTTGGCATGTATCAATGAAGTTATTAATGTTAATATCTTCCATGTTAATAAGAAGTATTTAATGTAATGTAATGAATCTACTTCTCCCCCAGGTTTATCACATCTCCAGAAACACATGGTTCAAAATGGAGACAAGGATGATCAAGAACGTGTGTGCCCCAGCAGTGGTACTGGGGGAGCGGATTGTCATTGTGGGAGGTGAGCATGAAATGCAGCTGGTGAGGTGGGACGCCCAGCTACACAAAGAACTCTGCCAGATAGGTGCTGCTGTACAGGGCAGTCATTTGAAAGCATATCCACTCCCCATGGGAGCTCAGCCAACCCAGGATGGCTCATCCTCACCCAGAATTGTCTGCCCGTACAGCACGCATGAAGTTGCATGATAAAGCATGCGCATGTATCTTGAGCTCTTAGTAGTACTACAGAGACACAGTAAATGAAAAAAAAATTTGCTATTCTTGATCATACTAGCCACAAGGGATTTACAATACAACTGGTAACACCAATAATATTGGCTACTAACAGACTTGTAACAGGAGTGTCACTGTCAATAACATTGGTGGGCTGGGATTGTAGGTGGCAGTATATGGCTGGCATACGGGTGGCAGTTTGTGTACTGGCTGTTTCATTTCTGATCAGCTTTCCACTAATGGCTTAGGAAAAGAGCACAAGATGGTCTAAGTGCTTGCATCCCTGCCACCCACATGGGAGACCCAATGAAGCTCCTGACCCAATCCCAGCCAATGTAGCCATTTGGGAAGAGAACCAGTGGATGGAAGGTGTGTGTGTGTATGTGTGTGTGTTTTCTCTGTAACCCTGCCTTTCAAACAAATCTTTAAAAAGAATAATAATATTGGCAACTAACAGACTTGCAACATTGGCTATCAGTATCAATGATATTGGCCACTACTGGATTTCACTGTAATTGCAGTATAGTATCTTGATTTAAAGGACTACTTTTGGCATCAGATAGATCTGGGTTTAGCTTTTGACTCTACCACTAACTGCTTGTATGCTCCTTAGCAAGTTATTTGTCATTCTGTGCCTCAGTTTGCCCATCAGTGAAATTGAATGGGGGGGGGGCGGCGAGAGGGGTGGATTCTTTAAGTATTCACAAGATCAGGCTACTGTGGGGACCCATTTTTGTGTTCCCATAGACTCCTTCTTGGGGTATTACAGCTTTTGGACTAGTGTTTGAGAAGCGAAAAGTCAATGAGGCCAAGAAGCAGCTGAAAGGCAGCTCCAAGTCTATGGGGTACAGATAGGCAGTCTTGACTTGGGGTTAAAGACACGGGAGGCTGACTCAGACAGATCTGGGTGCCAATCCCAGCTCTGAGCCACATACGGGGCCACAGCAGGTGAACTAATGACCCACCCTGTCGTTCAGAGTCCCCGCCCCCACACATGGCAGGTGCAGGGGGCCAGCTGTCTTCTAGCTGGGTGTGGGAGAGATGGAGAAGTGGAAGGAGCTGGCTGACCTCCTGTCCCTGTTCTGTTTTCAGGCTACACCAGGAGGATTCTTGCTTATGACCCTCAGTCCAACAAATTTGCCAAGTGTGCAGACATGAGAGAGCGGAGGATGCACCACGGTGCCGCAGTGATGGGGAACAAGCTGTATGTGACAGGTGGCCGGCGGCTGACCAGTGACTGCAGCATTGAAGACTCTGCCTCCTTCGACTGCTACGACCCTGAGACCGACACATGGACCTCCCAGGGCCAACTACCTCACAAACTCTTCGACCATGCCTGCCTCAGCCTGCAGTGCCTGCCACACACAGGTTCTAGCAGCTTCCCATCTTAGGCTAGACATTTCCTGGTGCAAAAGACAGAAACAGCTCCTCAGAGCTCAGCCCTGCAGGGATGTGTGGGAACCCCTCAGGAAGGGTGCTCTTGGGACTGAGGATATCCAGACCTGAAGGCCAGACACAAGGATCCCAGACCCTCTGGAATTCTCCTTTCTGGGAGAATCTCTTTCCTGCTCATCTGCTTTCCTACCTGTCTCTGTCTCTCTCCCCTCCACTACCCACTGTCTCTACCCTGTCTCCATTAGACTTCATTCTCCAGCAGGTGTCTTCATCCACCCAGCACAGAGACAATAACAACCCGGAAATTCCAATGCATAGTCTCTGGCTTTACATTTTCAGGAGAGAACTTGACCATCACCCAAAAGTAATAACACTTATGGGTCCCTTCTGAACTCTATTGCTACTTCTTGAGCCATCACTGTGGCCAGGATTTTCCCATGGTTAATAGGTTGGTCCCAGCCCCCAGAAATGAGAGATCTATTGCGATGACCCAGTTCATCAGAATGGCAGGAAATGAGACAGAAGCAGTGCTCTCAATGGAGACATTCTGGGCTGAGAGACATGTCTGCTCAGGACACCATGGCTGTCTGGAAAAAAAGGCCCCAGGAGGAAATGGCTGTGACCGCTGTCTGCGATCTGTGCATGCAGCACCTCAGAATTCCAGAGAAATGCAGGTCAAATGGCCCTGCTCTGCCAGAGTAAAGATTGTTTCCAGTGCCAAGCGATGGTCTTCTCCAGCCTCTAGGAAGTTATAAAAACCTATGGAATGGCATAGTAATCTAACCCTCCACCTTCGTGCTGGCATCTCATATGGGTGCCAGTTCAAGTCCCCGCTACACTACTTTCAATCCAGCTCCCTGTCTATGACCTGGAAAAGCAGCTGACAATGGCACTGAGTTCCTTGGGCTCCTGCACCCACACTGGAGAAACAGGAGAAGTTCCTAGCTTCCAGCTTTGGATCAGTTCAGCTCCGGTCATTGCAGTCATTTGAAGAGTGAATCAGCACATAGAAGCTGTTTCTTTCTCTCTTCCTATCTCCCCTTTCTATACATCTGACTCTCAAATAAAACGGAATCTAATTAAAATTTTGAAAAACCTGCAGATTCAATCAGGATCCCTGTTTTGGTAAATTGCCTTTCTGGGGTAAAGCCAATGAACTCCTTCAGAAATGACAACAAGAACTGACTGGTTTGTCTTCCAGGTGCCAGCACTGGCTGTCCCTAGAGTCCCTCTTCCTTTCAAGTCCCTCCCATCACAAGGATTCAGTCCAAGCCAGAGAACCAGCCCTGCTCGTATTCTGCAGTCACTCATAAAACTTTTTGAGGATGGGGTCACACTCCACTAGAAGCAAGTGAGTGGAGAATCTCAAGGGTAGCATCCAGAACTCATTTTTTCAAACACTTTCTCCTGCCCCCTGTACCCAGATGATTGTCATCTGCCATCAGGGTACAACGCCACCTCCAGGGTGGAGAGCTCAGCTACAGGCAGTGAGAATCCTCCTGGTTGATCCCATCCCATCCTTGCTGCGCACAGCAGGGTTTAGCCAAGCCCTCTGTCCATCAGCAGGAGCACAGGACATGAGGGTTTGCTGCCCAGAGCCAGGGCCGGGTTGGCCCCCACGTTGCAGCCTGTCTCCTCCAGCCAGCTCTGCAGATGCATGCTACATTTGTCCTTCCTCCCCGGTTTGTGTTCATACTCTGTCCTACTCGGCTGACATGTGCCTCATGACTCCTCCCCCTTTCCCTCCATATTATCCACCTCAGGGACTCCCCCTTGCTGGTGCTCCTCCCACTGCCTCCTGAGCTTCACCCTCATCTTCCGATTTCCCTGACAGTCACAGCCCAGGGTGAGCACCCTGGATGGGTGAGATCACCACACCTGTGGATTTCAACACCACCCAGAATGCCCCCGCCTTGCCAACCTTCTCTCATTCCAGACTCCGCTGCTCAACCTCCATTTCCACTGAGATGGCAAAAATCTGTCTCAGGTTAGCCACATTGCAGACCCTTCTGTTTCCCCAAGACCTGCTCCTCCCATAATGCTCCTTCAGTTCCTCAGGCCTAAACTTAAATAACCCCTGATCTCTCTCTCTCTCACTCATTCTGCTCCACCTGTCCCACCCAACATGCAGAACCCATCATGTTCCACAGCCCTTGTTGGTGACTAGCCCAGGCCACCATCTTCTCTGTGTGGAGCTACTCCAACAGTTTCCACCTTGGCCCCCAGAATCTGATCACAAAACAGCCTGTATGACCTTTTAATGTCATACACCTAAGTCAAAATGAGTTGTTTCTATTCAAACCCCACTCTCTCTGGTGACCATCAGAGACCTGCAAGATTCTCCCCATGCCCTGCGACCTCTATGTTCTCATCTGCTCTCAGCCCCCCTCGTGTATCCCTACCTCACACCACTGAGCCCTGCCTATCTTGTGGCTCACATGCCTAGCAGCTCACTGTGCTCTGCTTTATGCTTGCTGTGCCCTCCACTAGAAACCTCTGGCACTTCCCACCACTCAGTATATCCTCCCCTGACCACCCTTCATGTAATCCATCAACAGGTGCCTGGGAGTGATACCCCAAAGGTGATTGCTGGCACCTCCTGTCTCTATGCCTTCACTGCCCCTTCAGATGCAGACCAGGCTCATCTCCCACCAGCCTCCTAAAGACCTGCCCCCTAAAAGCTAGGGGACTCTCTAAAACACATACCTGACCTTTCTTATTCTCTAGCTGCCAGTGATCCCAAGACTTCCCTTGTGACCTTCATGTACAGGCCCAATTTTTTTCTCTTGCCTATAGAGCTTTCCAGTCGACCTCTCTGGCCTCATTTTCTGTCACCCACACTTTCTCTCTCTGTGTGTGTGTGTGTGTGTGTGTGTGTGTGTGTGTGTGTGTGTGTGTTTTGTTGGCGGTGGTAGCAGGGGAGGTGTCTCTGCTCTAGTCACCCTTAATATCCCATACCTCCCCCTTTTCAGGGGACCTCTGCATATGTAAAGCAGTAACTATCTGATACCCACTTCTCTTAACCCATCCCCTGGCTTAATTCCAACTGACCCTCACACCAGGTCAAGGGTGGAGAGCTCAGCTAGGGGCAGTGAGAATCCTCCTGGCTGATCCAATCCCATCCTTGCTGCACACAGCAGCATTAGCCAAGCCCTCTGCCCATCAGCAGGAGCACTGGACGTGAGGGCCTGCTGCCCAAATGTTTCACACACCCTCTGACTCCAGTCAGGGCCAACTCTCCTATTGAAGGCCCCAGGTTCCTGTTACCTCCCTTCTGAAACCCTCATCCTATTTTCAATTAAGATCATGGCAGACTGTCTGAAAATCATGAAAATGATGACATGTGGCAGGGAAGGAAACAGCAGGGCTCTCCACCCCAGGACCCCTCCTTGAGACCAGACAAAGTGTTTGACAAGTGGCCTCTAGGAGACCTGGAAGCCGGATGCAGCAAACATACTTGGTCACGCTTCAGGAACTGTCTGCTCCAGCCATGTGAACTTGGGAGGCATCATAGCTTTCCTCACACTTGTTTATTAGCAGGACCTGCACACCTCACTGCAGATAACACCAACTCGGGCACCGAGAAGACCAGGGTCCAGATATTGGCCTGCCATTGACCAGCATGTTACCTGCTGCCAAAGTGGCAAGTGACTTCAGTTCCTGGAGCCTCAATTGCTTCACAGCTGCAAAGGGATCCTTGCTTCACCCTCAGTGATTCTTTCAAGATTTCCAGGAATGACAATGGAGCCTACCTACACAATACAGGCACCAGCACAGAAAAGACTAAACCAAGTCCCATTCATCTCCTTGCTCGTGGGTCCTTTTCCCTGCCTTGTCACCTATGCACAATCCCCTCTGAGAAACTGCCCCAAATATCCATTCTAACCAAGAGTCAGTAGCTGACCCAACCACTGTGGCTTTTTTCTACTTGAGGACTCACCACCTGCACTTGTTGCCTGGTCCACACCTTATTTTATTCATTCATTCATTCACACACTCACTCATTCAGGCATTTAAACAACATTGTCCAGAAACCCCTCCATGCTAAATATAAGGCTCTTGGAGTAAACAAGGAAGACAATGAGGGTCCCTCTGCTATGAACCTCCATAGAAGAGTGGAGGCTCTCTCTGTGCAGATTGTGTTCTAGAAGGAAAGGGATAGGTAAGTAGGTAGCCAACTGGGGCAGCTGTCCTACAGGACTTGTCTCAGGGACGTAACCACTCCCTGTATTGCTTTCCTAAGGCTGCCATTGCAAAGTGCCGCATACGCAGTGCCTTCAAACCCCAGTGATTTCTTCTCTCACACTTCTAGAAAACAGGATTCCAGAACTACACCAGCAGGCCCACACTCCCCCAGAAGGCTCTAGGAAGAGTCCTACCTCTCTTCCCGCCTTCCTGACCTCAGCAAGCCTCAGTGTTACAGCCCCTCCTTAGGCAGCCTTCTTCTACACCTGGTTTGCCTTTACAGGGACAGTCTTATTGGGTGTACTGGTCACCCCACCCCAGTATGGTCTCACCTTGATCCTTTCGTTAATCATAGCTACAAAGAGCCCATACCCAACTAAGGTCACTGTGTTGGTCACCTTTTTGCTACTATCATTAAATACCTGAGAGAAGCTATTTGTGAAGGAGAAAATTTTATTTTGGCTCATAGTTTTGGGGGTCCACACTCCCGGGGTGGTCCCATTGTTGCAGAGTCTGATGAGAGCTGTTGATGGTAAAATGCTAGCAGAGGACAGTCATACAATGAGTCAGGAAGGAGAAAGGGACAGAGGGAGGCTAGGCCTGACTTAGGCTTACTTATAGAACCTACCCTTTCAAGAGTATGGCCCTCCAAGAGCATGTTATCTAAGGCCCTCCTACTGGTCCTACTTCCTGAATGTCCTAATTGAACCAAGTCATCATTAATCTCATTACCATAAAACTTTGGGGACAATCGCTTTAAAACATGGGCCTTTAGGAAACACCAAAACCAAGATCCAAACCACCACAGTAGTACCCAAGGCTCTGAGTGGACCCCCACATCCCCGTTCCCTGAGAGCCTCTGGTGGACAAGGGTCATGTCCCTCATCTCAGTAAATGTGTATCGAACCAAACTAAAGTATTTCACAGGGTCTAGCAGGTTTTTTTCCCCAGACTCCAAGAACTAAAAGCCAATGCATGCAAGACCTATTTCCAAGAAGTTGCCACAAATCCAAGCTGGGTAAGGTCTGCCAAGTGCCAGTCAAGAAGGAATTAGGGCACACACAGAGAAGCCCAGAGTTGGGCATCAGAAACTGCCTGAGAGAATTAAGCTGTTAGCACAATGTTACCCTCAATATCTCCTTCTAGGTCTTTCCAGTCTTCAGTGTGACATTCTGAGAGGCTGTGTGTTAAAGCCAAGGGTGCTGGAGAAGGGGATCTGGTCTTGGAAATGTCAGTTATCATGCAATCTCATATGAATTATAGGCTCTTTCCTCAAGGCTCTAAAAGATGTCCACAGATCTTTCCTCTCCATTTCACTTGGTTGCATAATGACAATGCCGAGGACCACAATCCAGAGCTCCCCAGCAGACCCCCACCACAAAATCAGTGGTCTAGAAAACAGGGGCAGGGACTGACTCAGGAATTCAGTGTATTTGTGCGGTAGGGAGAGACAGGCATTGTCCTGTTCAAAACCAGAGACTGTATTGGGGTGTCAGCCCCACCCCTCATATCCTTAGGACAGTTACAAAACCAACGCAAAACCTCTGAGAGGGGCTGCCGGTGACCAGGTGTTGAATGAACACATGCACGTGTGAATGAATGACAAAGCAGGTAG